AAAAAAAAGAGAGAGGAAGCGGCGAGCATTTCCGTGCCCTGACACCGGAGAGCCCCTCGCTGGGCTGGTGGCCCCAGCTCCGAGCCCAGCTTCCCTCCGCCTTGCCTGCCCCCAAAGCCGTGGGAAACCTTCGCCCCCCGCCCCTGGGGACGTCACGGGGGGAGTAGGGGGGATTTCTTGTTCGTTTTAGCGAAAGCTGCAGTGCGCTGGTGCCCGGGGAAGGCAGTTCCCGGCGCTCTGCCTGCCCCCTTCCCAGCCCCGGGATGGTGCCCAGCTGGGCGCTGTGAGCTCCCCCAGCTCCCGGCCCTGGGATGCTCAAAGGGTCTCGGGAAGCCTCGAGGCCCCACGCTGGTCAGGGCAGAGCTGGCTTTGGGCTCGGAGCGGAGTCTTCAGAGCGGTGTCCTGCCGTTTGACACGTGCCTCGCTGGCCTCTGTCCCCATGTCCCACCCACCCCGTGACGGAGCCCCGCGCAGGCTCGTGCCGTACGCTCTGCCTGCTGTCACGCGTGATGTCCCCCGCACCCCTGAGGAGGGGCCACGCTCCCGGCAGGGTCTGGCTCTGCCACAGGCTGGGCTGGGGCCTCCTCAGCTGCCCCAGAGCGGGAGCGACTCTTCCCACCGGGGCTGGGGCGATGGTGGCACCGGTGCAGTCCCTTCCTGGGGCGCTGATCCTGCAGAGGACCGAGGCCACCAGGTCTGAAACCCACTCGGGCCTTGGTGGCGCGGGCAGGTTTACGGCTGCCACAAGCCAGGACCACCTGAAGCAGTGAGTGGGACGTGACCCCTCAGTCCAGAGGCTGCCTCACGGGGAATTTTGGAATTTTGGCTGGTGAGTGTGGCTGATGCTCAGCCAGCATTGAGGGGGGACAGCTTCAAGCCACAGAGCTGGATGTGCCTCATCCTGCATGGAAGGGCAGCGCTGGGCTGGACTGGGCTTGAACTGGGGCTTCCAGTGTCCAGAGATGCTTCAACAATAAATGCAGAAAGCATCAGCCTGAGCTGCTGGGGTTGAGTTCAAGGAGGGACACAGATGCAGGGGGGGGACGCTGGCACTGCTGTGCTGGCCCCTCCGGGCTGCCGGGCCACCTCGGCACAGGCTCCTCTGGAGCTGCTGCGCTCCCGCGCCAAGGGCATCGGTTGTCCCTCCGGCTTCCCTGCAGAAATGAGATTGCCGGACTCGGGCGTGTCAGCGCTTGGGGGTTTTTTTAATTAAAAATTAATTCCAGGTCTGCAAAGCGCTGCAGGAAAGGGGGACGCTGGGGATGCCCGCTGGCAGCGGGGAGGGGGGCAGCAGAGCCGTGGCTGGGGGG